ATGATTATTTTATTTAACACGTAAGATATTAATATAAATATTTTTATTAATTCATTCTAGAAGTAGAAAATTCTTTAATCATTGTTTCGTTTCTATTAAACAGTAACAAAATAGTTTAATATTCACGATAAGGTACAGTACATCATTATCTATTGGAACATTTAAAAATCAAGGCATCTTAATCTGGATCCGTGGATAGATTTCTGCTAATCAGCAAACTTGAATCAGAATAGAAATACTTCTTTATTTTCAATGTCCAGTAATTATTATTGCTTAATGAGCGAATAAAGGAACACATCATAGTTTCTTTTTAAAATATTTTGATGATATAAGTCATTTCTTCTGTAATTATATCTTTCTTATTTTACTTTATGAACTTTAAAATAATCAATAATCTGAGAACGAGTTCGTAAATTTTATCGATGCTAAAGGGATCTTGCCCTAAAAAATGTTAAGCACCCCTATAACAATGTTTCAGTAATAAGGTATGATTTTAAAAGTTTTAACTATATTTAATACAGCAACAAAAACTATAATCTTACGTAGACTCATCTTAATATTTTTATAATAATAGTTATTGAACAGTGACAATATTATTATTTGTTTGATTAAAAAAATTAATTATATCATCATTATCTTGAACAATTTCTGTTTAGGTCTTAGGATCTGCTCCATTTAAGCTTAAGATGTTTTTGAACTTCTGACAGCTTATATTCCTCTTTCACGAAGATTACATTCAAAGGTTAATCTCGGTAAGTGGTTGTTGCCCTTTCTAATTAGATGGTCTTCCCGTTTTGTCGGGGGGTAATTTAAACATCAAATGATATTTAAAACTTCATAAATTAAAAAATACTTTTATTGATTAAATATTTTAATATTTTGTTTTATAAGACGGTTTGTAAAAAATTGTTGTGGTGTTTTTCTACTTTTCCTCTGTGTATTGTTTATTCATTCAGTATCTCGCTTCTTTGTTTACATATTTAGCGAATAGAATAAAATATTTTTATATTATTACTTTGAAAGCTATTCATGAATATTAAAAATATTTCACTCAAGAGAATAGATAGTTTTTATTTGATATACTATATCTTTATAATATATATTTTTGATAAAAATTTGGTTCGAGCTTACTGAAAATGAATACGTTCAATTTAAAACTGAATAACTAAATATCATTTTAGCAGAAACTCGAATACTAAATTATATATGAGGCAATGGATACAGAAGATCAAAAAATATTAATTCTATTATTAACCATAACTCTCAAAACTTTAGAATTCGGTAACATATTATAATAGTAGTACAGTATTTTTTCTCTCACGTAAAATAAAATTAAACATTTTTTGGTATTTTTGTTGTCTTAAAAATTTCGAGATAATTTTAAGAAGCGAGCAAATATTTCTTTATTATCTCATTTAATGCCTAATTTAAATTCTTTTATAAAAACTAAGAAAGTATTTCTATTCCAATAATAAATCAGTTTTTATTAGTGTTTAATATGAATTTTAAGCAGAGGATGAACACAGAAAGATCGAAATATTAATTAATAAAGAATAATTTTTGTTTAGCCTATTCAACTTATAAAACTATGATACAAGTTTCGTATTTTAATTAAATAAAAAAAATATTCGACTTTGCAAATAATTTGAAGATAGTGATCTTCTGAAATTGATTTTTTTATATGAAGCTCAAGTTGTACGATATTTCTCATTTAAATGTTCTCAAATCTATAAATTTTTATATTTCAATTTAACTAAAATTGATAGAAAAAAATAGATTTACAAAATTTTCATCAAGATCTTACTAATTCGAAAGTTTTTGCAAAGAAAAAACAAGAAATAGAAAAGACAACTCGGTAAATTTTCGGATAAAATAAATAATGGAGAACCAGGGACTGAGAGAAGTGAGATGAGACTCGAACCAGTCATAAATGTGGGATCTCATTCTTCTCGAAAGCCATAAAAGTATAGAAATAAAATCGATAAAATAAATAAGAACATGTTTTTTTACGTCTTATCAAAAAACTTTATCATTTTAATATCATGATTTCTGCATAAATGACTAAATTTTTGGGTGCTCTACTGTCCTCCTCTCTTTGGACATGATGAGAATTAGAACGTTGCAATTGCAAAAACGAAAACTGATTTCAGAAAATTAAGAAATAAAATATTCATATTCAACTAAAATAAACTTAACTGAATATTCCAAGTTTTCACTCTGGACTGTTCAATGTTTTGATTATCAGAAAAAAATGTGGTATCAACATGCTTGCACATTGACATTTGTTTGATAAAGAACAGAGAGTATACACAAGGAGCTTATGAAAGTCTATTTATTGTGATCCTCTAGAAGTCGAAATAAGTTTGCTCTTATTAACATTTGGGATCATTATTTTGTAACTATATAAATTACTTAGTGACTTTTTAAAATAAAATTTGTTTTCAACTTACTTGTTAGTGACAACATCGTTTTAAATTATTGATAAAAAAAATAATGAAATATATAGTATAATTATTAGCTTTATTTTTCAATAAAATATATATCATTTTACTGAAAGTAAAAACGTTTGTGAAGCTTTAAATGAAATATTTTCAGGAAAATAAATCTGAAGAAACAGTTTATAATTTATATGATCGCCTTTTACATCTGAAGTTTTCCTTTATTATAAAGTTTTCACTTTATGATCTAACTTCATATTTAAAATGTCATACAAGGCGCCATTCAAATGTCATTCTAGCAAATAAAACTTAAATAGCACCAAATGAGTGAGAATTCAATTTAATATCATTCTCTATATAAAAGACTTTTTTTTTTTTTTACTTTTGGTAGACCTCCAAATAACGTCAAAAATATTCGAATAATCCACTTTGAAGACATTCAAAGTTTTAAGTGCATTACTCAAATTTATATATTGAAGATATTGAAGAGTTATTTAAAGTTATAAATATAAACCTGGTATATAATGTAAAGAGAAATAAGAAATATTATTCGTATTAAGTGATTGAATAACATAAAATGAAAATATCTTAAAATAGAATTACTCATTTATACAATTCAAATTATAATTTCCAAGATAATCAATCAATATAAAAATTATTTTTGTTAAGAAAAATGTTAAAAATAAATTATTAGAATGCTTTTTAGAATAAAAAAAATTTTTAACGAAAAGTTAATAAATTGCTTTCGATCTAAAATAAACACAAGATAATTTTAGATTCAGAGAAGTAAATCTTACTATAAATAACTCTCTAGAACTTCTATGAAACGTCCGATGTATATACTCGTATATATCGGTACTTATATATAATATATATTCGTTATACAATAATTGTAAATTTAATTGTATAATTTTTAAAAATTAGAATTATCGTGCTTTCATAAATAATTATACTTTTAACAGTTGCATTTAACAATTATAATGCACAATTTTCAACAAAATATGTAAAAATATTCTACTTGCTGTAGTTCATAAAATGATAAATCTTTTAACTGTTTTTTCCTTAAGGGCAATAAGAAGGCCCTAAATATTATATTTAGAGAATAATGAGAAGCATGAAGAGAATAAAAGGTATATTCATAATTCTTGAGTTCTCTGATCTACTTATCAGACGAGGTACAAGATTTATTTACTGTTTTGAAAGTACTTTATTGTCGATATTCTTGTATAATTCACCTTTGTCATAATTTATGTTTATATATAAAGGTTAATTGCATAATTAACCTTTGTCTGATTAGTCCATAACAGCTAACTTACGAATTATGAAGTTTATTCTCAACATAATTTTTCGACAATCTCCTCTTTTATTGAGAAGTTTGAAATTTGTAATAAGTATAAAAATATAATAATTCTATGAAAATCTACGTTAAGAATAATAATAATTTTAAGTAATTAAAAGTAAATAATTTTATCTAAACTCAAAGCTAAATACATAATATNAACATTTCTTACATCAGCCATTAACAGTGATTTTAGTGGTTTTATTTTTGTCATCTTACTAATTTTTTTTTCCTTCCTACCCTCCTCTTTTCTGGAATCAAAAATTTTTCTTTAGTTAATGGGAATGATGTAAAAGTGATATTTTAAATCAACAAACTAATTAAGAAAGTAATTAATAAATTAAATTTGACGTAGATATTTTTAAAAGTTACTATTAATTAAGTACTGTTGTGAGTTTGTTGTGAAAAATCAAAAAATTCAATCGATAGAAATGCGCACTTTTTAGTAAATAAATTATTTTTGACGGGTATTATTTTTTCATCATTAAATATATATATATATTTCCCCCTGTATTTTTTAAAGTTCTTTCTTTGTAATTTTGATATTTAAATTTTTCTATAAACCAAAATGTTATAACATTTTTACATTGTAATTAATTTTATAAATCTTATTTTAGTCGATTTTTCTGAAAAGTTAAAATACTCAAAAACTTAGAAAAGTTTTAAACATGTTAAATTTAGTTTTATAATAACTTAGTAGCGCCATCTGTACATAATTTTTTTAAATGTGTTTTTCCTTCTAATTGATCCTAATACGCTTGGTTCACGAATCATTAAGAAACGAATAAAGTAGATTTATTTGTTTTATTTATAGATGCCAAACTTTCTTTTTAATTAACTAATTCTTCTGTTTTTATTTACGTTTTAATAAATATTTAATAAGAGCTGTTATTCTATTATAAACTTAAAACAAATAATTAAATTTATTTATATAAAACAAACAGAATAATGTTCTGTTTTTCCTATTTCATAGTAGGTTCAATTGTAGTAAAAATTGATTTAATAAATATCCTAGAGAGGGCGCTTTGACAGTTTTTATCTCCAATTTTCTTTCATAACACTAACTACAGTAACAATAAAATAACTTTTTCAGTATAAAAACAATGAACATATTTGGAAATATTCCGCACTTTGAATTCATTTTTAAAAATTTATATGTATTTTTATTATATCTAAATATAAAAAAATTTGAAACTCCATTTGTAATAAAATCACGAACTTACCAAGTTTAGGTAAAGGCTTAGTTCTAAATTCGTAGTCGTTTTGAGTAACACCAGCATCAGTGTATGCAGTAACCATTATGTTGTATTCACGTTCGGGTAATAATTGCCTGATAGTTGTTACATTTCCATGATGCGCCAAAATTTTATCTGGTAGCGACATCCATTTTCTTTGATATTTTGGCCGGTACTGTACGGTAAAATGATGGATAGGACAACCTCCACTTTGCCACGTATTGAGGTGAAGTGTGACAAATGTCGAATTGATGGTGAGAAATGCATCTCGCTGAGAGGGCATTGGTGCTAGATAAGAAAACGAAGATTGAATGGGTAACATTTGACACTAAGGTACATTATAACGGACCGAAACTTACAAATACCATCGATAAATATTGTAACCCAATCGGTAATTTTTCAACTTTAATCGATATATTTTTCTCTTTATATCGACAGTACTTGTCGAGCTTTTAAAATTCTCTTCGATGTTCAATTATGTAAACAATGTACATCAATTTTTATAAAAATTCGTCTTATGATAACAATTTCGTTCGGTTATGAACTTAATTAATTATTAATTAATATTAATATCTTCAAGTATTAATTAAGAATTTATGAATGTTTATGAAAGGCTTCTCTCACTTACGAAATCCTTTTGTTTTAACGGTCACGGGAGTGCTCGGTTCTCCAGTTCCTACACTATTGGTCGCTGTCATGTAAAGATGGTAATTGGTACCACAACGAAGTCCTTCTAAAGTATAACGATCTAGAGCGGAGCTTAGACTTTTCTTTTTCCATTCTCCCTCATCAGTCTTATAGTGAAGGATATACTCTAAAATACAGAACATTATATTTGATATATATGTATCTTTGCCTCTAACAGAATTATTTTCAAGTAAAGAAATACACACACAAAAAAAGTAAGAGGAAAAAAATTTTTTTTTTGAAAGATGTGATCCGGTTCATATGAAATATTATGAGTAATCGATACGAAAAGAATTTTTAAAGCATTCTTTCCGTTTTAGTAACTAAAAAGTATCGTATATTTATAATATTCTTTAGAAATATTTTTATCGATTTACAAATACCAGTGAATCATTCAATCTGTCGATCGATAATTTAAATATTTTATATATTTTATTTTATCTTATTTTTTCCTTTCTTCTTAAATCGGAACTCTTACACAAATACGAACGTATGTAAAATGTTCTTTCAACGTTTCGAATTTCCTTTTGTTGAAGAAAATATCGTGCTTGAGACATTCTCTGCATTTGTAAGTTTTTACATAATGCAAAATAATGGTTAAACTTTATCAGAACTTTTACAAAATTCTTCCAACTCCTCTTAAATATAAATATATACGTAATGGACATTTTCGTTATCATTTAAACATTTATTGGATGATAGAAAATACTATTTTATGTTTTAAAATGTTGCTCTTTCGATATATAATTTTTATTGTAATGCGATTGAATGCGCAATTCAAAACGGAACTATTAATTGTAGAAATTATGTTAAAATCAGATGTTTAATGAATCGAATCTCATGATGAATCTATGAAGTGGTGGTGCTGTAAAGAAGGTGTGGTTTCATGTGCAGGCATTGTACTGTTTCTGACAGTTTGGGAGGACTGCCAATACATCTATTCAATAACCATACATAGCACTTATATCTGTGAAAAGTTCGCTCGCTATACGTCATCATCACTTGAAAGGAAATGCACCTAAACACAACAAAAGATCAACTACCTTATTCGACATCATTGATTAATGAATATTAATAAATAGAGCCTTTTCTGAGGTAGAAATAAAAAAGGAAGAAGCTAGAAAGGACTTGCCAAAATCTTTCATCTGAATATCCAATCCAATTTATCTTTTGTGAAACAGGCAGCGATCCAGTTGCTGTAACACTGTATAGAAATGATCTGGAATTTATCCAACCTCATTGAAAGTTTCGAAGATAGATAAAAACAAACGGCAATCTTTATAAAAATAACTTCAATAGAAAGTATAAATAAAGAAAGAAAACTCTTGCTGTTTGTTCTCTTTACCGATTGTGACGTCGCATACATTGACACACTTCTTTACAGTCGCTATCTTTACTTTCAAGTTAAATAGATTCCTAGTGATGTGTTTAATGATTCTCAATAATAATAATCTCAATAATGGAAAAAAGTATAGAGACATTAATGATCTTTGTCCGAATAAAAAATTATATATATTTTAATAAAATAAAATCGGTCAGAAAATGCTAAAAATTTTAAAATCTGGGTCAAACTTTTGTTTTAAACTATTATTACTTCTACGTTTACAATGAGTATTCAATTTAGATAATTCCCATTTCAATGATGTTTCGTATAAATGTTCTTTAGAGTTTTTAGAATAATTTATAAAATTTGATATCAGAATTTTTAAAAAATGTCTCCAATGGATCTTTATAAAAAAATTGATAAAATTCAAAAGTATAAAATATATAAATCATTAACTCAAATGTAAATTAGGGAATATATACGTGTATACAAACAACATAACTAGGCGTACAAGTTTCCTCCATTCGTGTACTGTACATAAATTACGCACTGTAATCGTTTTGTAAGCATAGTTAGTATAATTACAATGTATATAATATTAACTAGTTAATATGTTATTATTTATTAATGAATTAAATAATTAACTATACTCGTTAATTTGTAACTATGTGACAAACTGGCAATCGTAGTAAAGTGGTTATCTAACACGTTGACATAGTACAACATAGTTTACTACTAATTTACTAGTAGCTTAGGTATCTAATATCTAGTTAATTACACTATATCACATATTTACACTTAGAATAAATATTAATTAACATACTTAACAAGTTACAAAGTTAATTAGTTGTAATATTGACTATATTATTTGAATTAATGACAATTATCATCACTTAAAGTATTAATCATTACTATATTAATCATCAATTATGTTTTCAATGATTTGACTAAATTCTATTAATTGTTTCGTATTTTACCTGTAATAGTCGACTTATCTTTAGAATCCTTTTCCCATTGAACTTCTACTGAATTTGTTGTCGATGACATTGCAGTTAGAAGTGGTGATGTTGGAGGTGCTTCATAGAAACACAGTTTATTAATTTCATTCTTGTTTTTACATTAATGTAGAGTAATTTGTTAAAAAAAAATAATGTAAGACTGTCAAAATTACCCGTTTCTAGTGTCATGCCCACGACTTCATCAGATCTAGGTCCAGGGCCAATCTTATTATAAGCTTGAACAACGACAGCGTATTTAGTGAAGGGACGAAGATTTGTCAAGTAAGTTGATTGTTGTTCAGCATCTTCTGACATTTCGACGTGTTTGTACTGATGAGAATCTGAACTGTCGATTATTTTGTAACCTACATAGTAACCTTTTATCTTTCCATGTCGAGATTCCTCTTTCGGAGGCTAATTATTAATTTAAAAAATTAATTTTACATACTTTCATTGAAACGATAAGGTATTTATTAAATATAGTGTAAAATATGCGTATAATAATAATAATAATAATACCTTCCAAGTCACTTTTAATGATTGAGCTCCTGTAGAATGAACTAAAATTCCAATTGGTGGGCCAGCAGGAGCTTAAAATAATATATATAAAATAAATAAATGGTATTGCTATAAATAGGAAAAATCTATTTTAAGCGTAATATAATAATTTAGGTTTAAATTATGAATTTGCTAGATATTAATTTATAACGTAATAATTATGTTATAAATTATTATAATTTAGATAATAAGCGTAATACTTTAAAATAGATTTTTGCCATTAGAAGAAAGTGGTTACGAATGAATAATTTTTATTTTTTATTCATCAGTTCTGACAGACAATAATGTATAAGTAATTTAAAGATGAAAATATAAAATTCCCAATTAGTGTCTGAAATTGCTTTTAAATGAGTAAAAATGAATTTATATATATATATAAAAATTTCCTAACTTATTGATAAGCCGCTCAATAGTTATTAAAAAGTGTCTTTTTTTTCTAAAGAAAAATCTTTCTTTAGACGACAGTTAAATTGATTATTCTTATTCATTTTTCATTAAAAAGACGAATAAATAGAAGAGTGAGACGAATAAAAATCTCTAAAATATTCCTTTTTTTTGTCAATTTATGAAGAATTATTGAATAATCCTCTTGTGATAAGAACACTTCTGATGATAACATTATTATTTTATAAAATAAATCGTTTATATAGGAAAAAAAATATATATTGTAAGATTTTAGTTATAAATCATTTCTTTGACATATAAATGGAGTTTTGATATTAATTTCTAATTAGCGCCTGATATACAAAAATAATGATCCTGAAGATGATGTTATCCAAGTAAATGAATCATCTGTTGAAGTGATAAAAACAAAAGAAATTAGTGGAAAACGAATCGATGTTGTTCTCTTTACGTTCGATAATTTAAAAATCATAGAATACATACCGAAAAGAATTTTATAAATTATGGATTATTGAATGTTGAAGGGAAAAAAATGTGTTTGTATTTTGTAAGTGGTGATTTGTATGAATCGTCTATTGCTGGCATACATTTTGAAGATTAAACCATCCATCAACGAGATTCATTTAACAAGACAACCTCAATCTTAATCCGCAATCCAAATAAGGCCAACCTCACGATATTTGTCATCTAGAAACAGTTTTCTTACCCTCTTCTTCTGTCGTCACATTAATCATATCGCTTGGATCACTTCGACCTAAAACATTTTCAGTAATGACTCGAATCGTGTAAGATGTAACAGGCGTCAATGACCGAAGTAGAGCACTCGTTTCGGATCCAGTCACGATCGTTTGTACTGTCGGATTCTCCCAATTTTCTAGCAACATAAACTATTATTATTTTATAGAATTATAATATTGAATAAATCTATTAGCAGTAGAATAAAATCAATAAATTTTTTATCACTTAAAAATATCTAAATTTAAAAAAATAATAATAACGTAGAGCCATCTCGTAAGTGTGAACGTTTCGTCATCTAGTGACATTGCATAGATTGTCTGCGATTTAGAATATAGTATTATTATAAAATAGTTTTCGCTATTGCTAATGTGATATATTTTAATGATTAAATGTAGTAAATTTGATTTCATTTGAGAAAATTTACCTTTTTTTTGATCTATTCATAAAATCTTAGCCTTTGCTATGATGTTTTATAAAGGTATCGGGGGAGATAGCTGAGTTCAATAAAAGCCGTTTGCTAGCAGAAGCAGTCACTGAAGTGACAAGGTAATTAAGATAAAAAGGATGTAGTCGTCAATAGTGTCCCTCTGGCAAGGGAGAGATAAGTCACTTTTCCCCGATAGCAAAGTTGATAAAAAGTTTTAAGGTCCAAATTATAAAGTGTAAAGCTGGACATAAAAACAAATGACTTTTCTTTTAACTTGGTGAAACTTTATTTTAACAAAACCAAGAAAAAAGAATTCAATTTTAAATGAGATTATATGATTTATATAATTCGTTCTCTCTAAAAAATAAGGAGAAAAAAATTAGAAATTTTCAGTTTCAAAATTGCACACAGACGAGCGACTTTAGTAATTAAACTTATATTTGAATTACTTTTAATATAAAAAAGAAGTTGAGTTAAATTTAATAAGATTTGTTTAAATAATAGATTGAAGTTGTATAAGTTTAATTTTAAATGTAAAGAATTGAAAGTTTAAATACTCGGGAGTTTTAAATTAACATATTAAGGATTTTTTTGGCGATTTTAAAGCAGGATTAGCACTCTAAATATATTCAAAAACTAAGTATTTTTAATGTAATTTTTAGATAATATTTAAATCAAAAATAATTTTAATAATGATTTAATGAATCTTAATGTAAACATCAATTTTTTAAACATATTTTTCGTGAGCTGCATTAAATTTCTAGTAAAATGCTCTTTATTGTGAGCTGTAGAACTTGCATAAATTTTCTAAAAATAAACATTTACATGTCGAAATACTACATTAATATATAGCCAAATTCTTTTAACAAATTATATATTTCAAGATTCTTCGTTTCTTCTTTAAAGAAATACAAAATATATGAAACATTCCAAATATTTTCAATAATAATTTGATAGTATAATATATTTGGATATTTTATATATCTTAGATTTATATATAAGAAGAAAAAAAACATTCGAAATATGTAGCTTTGGATATTTTAATAAGATATTTTGAAGTTATATATCTGCTTAGGGAATTCTTCTTATACGAAAAAACTTTGTCATTTCGTCGTTTTTTCTTATTTTCTTGACGAAGGAAAATTTTCAAAAATAAATAAATAAATAAAACTAAATCCCCCCGAGGAATCAGAATATTTTGAAGAAGTTATTCAGACTTATATTGTATATCATAATATATTTTCAATTTTAAAACAATCCATGTTTCTTTCGTAATTACAACATTAACATGCATTGCATGTTTAAAAAATACGCAAAATTAAATGTTAATTGATATTCAAAATAATTGTATTTTGAATTGATAACTGCTAATTTACCTGATACTGTCTTAAACTGCACCAAATTACCCGTTATTGGACTATTCCCATTGAAAGGTATTTCCCATTGTAAGGAAATAGTGCGACTAGTTATGTTCGTGACAGATAAATTCAATGGTGCATCTGGTACATCTGTAATTCAGACGTAAACAAAACTTTTATATTAATATATATAAAGTTTAAAATGAGAATTTAATCAAAAATAATTAAATATTTGAAAATTTATTTCTTCTTACCTTGAATAACTAATTGAATATTCGTATCGTCAACACCAAATTTATTCTTAGCTATACAAGTGTATAATCCTGTATCTTGCCTGGAGGTTGATTTGATGGTAAGTTCAGAAGTAGTTTTCTCTTTATCGGTTTCTTGTTTAATCAAATATCTTAAATAAAAACAAAAATTCTAGTTTTATTCACTTAGAAATTGATTTTACAAAGTTTTAGAGATTCTTGTTTGCGTATGATGAATTAAAATTAAAGCGGATCAATTGTGAAAGTGAGAAATGAATTAAACTGATTAATCACTAGATTGACAATGAACTATAAGCTGTAACAAATTCGACAATAAATGGAACGAAGATTTTAATCAATCATTTCTACAAATTTCAAAGCGTTTCAAAAATTATATATTTAATCATTCATGCTTAACTTTAATTTCTAGACGATTTTATTTCGATTTTTTTTCTTACTATATCGATTTCAATAATTTGCAATTTAGACGAATTCTCGAAATATTCGTTTCATTATGCAATATTTGGATTGTAAATTTATTTTATCAGTCCATTTTCTTAATGAAATTCTTGTTTATCTACTTAACAGACACTTTACATTTCTTTACATTATCTTAAGTAACTGAGATTTTTACTTTAGATGACAAAAATTTGCATTTTTTAAAGAAAGAAGTATATTCTTGCTTAACTTAAATTTTATACAATTGTAAGATTTTGCAACATGTTAGTGAAATTTTTTATTTTATAACGCAGCTTTTATAAAGCTTTCACGCAGAAGCAATTTACTTTTAGATTTGTTTTGCAGGGTTTTTTTTAATAAAAAAACTCAAATTTCCAAAATAAATTTATCAGTTTCGCATTATAACACGAAACTATAATTATTTTTGTTGGCTTTTTTTTACTTTAAATATCAGTTGATGTTGCGAGATAAATTGTAATTATTGTGATGAATGATGATACTGGATATTATGGAAAAGCATGAATTATTGGATTTAAAATTTATCAAATCACTAATTTTAAAAACCTATAATGAAAATTCTATTCTCTTTATTTTTTTCTTGATATACATTTTATTTAAAGACTAAAAAATGATGTAAATGATTTTTTTATTTATAGTTTTTTTTAATTCATTCTTGTAAAACTTGACTTTATTTAAAAGTATTTTAGTATTGTAAATGGATAGAAAAATATTTTTAAAGTAAATATACAGTAAATAGAAAATTGATAATGGAGTTCATTATAAAGGAACTTTTATCTGCTTATTTTTTTCGGTATATAAACTTATTTATAGCATAAGAATGCTGTGGTGAGTACATATTATAAATATTATTTTCTACCTTATTTATATGAAAAAGTTTTTCTATAAATATTCCAACTTTCTTCAATTATTTTAAAATACTTTAAAGTCATTCGCACAGAAAAATACTTTAAAGCTATAAGGAAAAATTCCTTTCATGTGAAAAATATATAAAAAAGTTAACTGTATTTGCTTCTTCGTTAAAGGATTTCAGAATAATGAAAGAAAATATTTAATTGAATATATTCTGATAAATTCGAAATTTTTAAAAGGGTTTTTATTAGAAGTTCGAATTACCATCGAGTAGTAAAATTAAATTATGTTAATGCCTAACCAACTTTCAATAATTTTTATCAAATGAAAATAAAAACAACATACAGAGCCATTTGAAATGCAATTCGGGAGATTAAGTTAAACTTCGATTTATCGCCACCATTTTTTCGCTCCGAAATTGGCACCAAACTGAAGTGTTGACATTTCAAATAATCAAAATAATGTATAGAAATAAGATTGCCTAAGTTTAAGTTATTACTAATTTATGTGATTTTATGCTGGTGATATGGTTTGCAAAGCAAAATTGTATTCTCAGTAATTCATAGATACTGGAGGGTTTAAGTAGAAAACAAGTATACAAGAAATCGTTGTCGCTATATGGAAATAGCACTATTTATAACAGTGCTATATCGAGAATTGATGGTATATGAATGAAATATATCGAGATAGATTAACAGTATGCAATATAAAATTACTTGATTTTAGTAATATTATAAGAAAGAAACTGCAATAAAACGAATGTAAAAGTCAATTTAATAATAGAAGTGTTCGTAAATATTTACCTGTTAAAGTACAAACGATTTACATAACTGCAAAAGTCAATTTAAAATTGCTCCTGATTAAAAAGGCTTTTCCAATATACATATTTAAATTTTTATAGTGATTTTTCTTGCTAAGTGTTGCATAATAATTCTCATTACATGTTATAGATTCATATTAATCTCACTTTTGCAGTCTTTACTTGATATCTGGATCTATCATCATTAATTTAAATGGAAGTATGCATGCCATTTTCTAATTTTTTTTCAATATTTCTTATAATATTAGTCTCATATATATTGATATATTTATTACACTCCAAGTAAATGGTATTAAATGTATTCTTAACTACCGTATGATTAGTTCAATACAACAATACACTTTGAAAAGTATGCAGTTAAATATAGGCCTAATTAAATAATAACTTCAGAAGTAATTTTATTTAATTATTTAAGTTACCTGTTTCCTTTTTCTATTTTCAAAGTTTCTTTGTTTTTTTGCCATTCCATTGACAGAGGAGGTTCTCCTTTGACAGTACATTTCAAAACTGCATCACTAGCCGTTCTAACAGTGTGGCTACGATAATTAATGTCAAATCTGGGTGGAACTATAGTGAATATACGAATAAATATCAATCAATATATAAAATTATTTATAATTATCATTATACTATTTATATGCACAGTATAATTTCATTAGGAAGTACTGTACATCTTGATGAAAATGAGAAATGTATCAGGGAATTAACAAATTTATGAAAATTATGAACATTATTATTTGCTGTAAATTATTCTAATTGAAAACTGATAAACTGCAAATTAAAAATTATATTAGCTTTGATTGCTCACGCCAAACCGCACTTATCGAGTAACTTAGAAGGTTGATGCAAATTTAATTTTTGAATGATATCAGTCATATCGTATACGTTAAAGTTTGAAAGATAAAGAGAAAATTCTCTTTGAATATGTATCTAATCTGTTCCACATTAAACGAATGATCGATATCCCTTCTCTGATCACAACACTTACCATACGACAGACAGTCAACTAAGGCATTAAGTACAGTGCCAAGAGATACCATTTTCAAGTCCCTCAAGCTTTCAGAAATGGAAATGTAATTAATTATTCTTAACGATTCTTCCTTTAGGCGATAGAAGTGTAGCTGATGCAGATGGCTACTAAATGTAAGTAGAAGAAGCTTTTCTCTTTATTGGAAACACATCATTATCTTTCATTTGCCAGTTTAAAATAATTTTGAATTTTAAGTGGATTCCATATTCTTCTTCGAATGAAATTTTTGGTTAAAATATGGCATTTAATTTTTCCAGAAATGTGCCCTTAAGCTTACGAAGACCTTTAATATTTATCCATGTTTTGTAATGTAATCTTTAATAATGTGTGTTGTAAGCAGATTTAAACATGTTAGTATTAGCAAATACAATTTTGAAGCATTTCCCCTCAAAATAACTTTTCTTTTAATTCTCAAATGATTGATAGAGTACATAAACAGTAGAAAAAGTATTCATTTTCTAATAATTAATTAAGATTAAATCAAGTAATTTATACAACTTTATTATATTGTTTCTTAATAGATTAAATAAAATAAACATCACAATTGTAAGTTAATTTACCATTAAATTTTAAAAGAGAATTTTAATAAATTTATTATTAAATGTAAATATTTATATATTTTAGCAAACAAAGAAATTAATAGTGAATAACACATATTTTTTATTTGTTTTTTCCTTATAAAACTTAGAAAGTATTCCCCAAGTAACAAGATTCTTATAAATAAATACTTTAAAATATTCTTATTTGCAAAGAATATTTTTGGTTTGTTAATTTATGCAAGTAAATTAATTTATAATTATAGAAAATGCTCAAGTTAGGACAAATCTGCGTGGATTAGAAAAAAGAAAAGACACGAAAAGTTAAACAAAAATAAATGTCTTTCGAATTTAAATNTAATTCGAGAACTCGTATACAAATACGTAAAGTCACTCGGGATATTACCTAAACGAATATATATGTTTTTAATATAAAATCTCATTTATATTTATAATTGTAAGATAATAAATATACCTCTTGCTTTTCTCCACGTAATAGCAGGAATTGGAAATCCTGTTGCAGAGCAATCTATAAGAACCGTATTTCCTAGAACATCCGAAGTATTTTTTGGTTCAATTATCCACTTGGGTGGAACTGTAACATAAATTAAATATGTAAATATAATATTTTCATCCGATGCGTTTAAAATTCTGAAAGTAAATAAAAATATCATTCTTTTATGTAAATATATTTTAAATATAATTTTCAAGCAGTTATATCTTATTTTTTTTCCGAAGATAAAGAATATTTTAAAAGTATTTTTTTATTTTTTTTATTTATTATTTTTATCAAAATACAATTGGAAAAAAGTAGATTTTTTACAATACATATTTAGTAAGCGTATTATTTTATTTTTTCTATAGTAGAAGCATATTTCAAATTTAATAAAACTTGCATTACACATCTGGCATTAAATTTAAAACGTAAATTTAATAATATATAACATTGTAAAGTATATCAATTTAGTGTAATAAAGCATTGGATTATGTTTTCGAATCTCAAAACGAATTTTACATTGTATTTTCTCAGATTAAATTATAATATAAAGAAATATTCCTTTTATATTTGCTTTGATAGAAACTTATATTGTACTCATAATAGAAGGGTCCTTGCTTCTGTTTACATACTGAAAACAATCTCTCACTTTATGAGGTAAAAGAAGACAAAAGTTATCCATCATATTTAATAAACTTAAGTCTTAAATTAACCTAACATTGTATATAATACAATGGAATATTTACTAAGAGATAACACTTTGTCATAACCTAAATATAATATTCATTTTTCTTTTTATACATCTCATTTGAACTTTAACAATAACTTTTCTATTTTAGTTAATAAACTTATAATTATTATCACTCTAAACGAGAAAAATAATTAATAACCCTCTTAAAATTTATAAAATAAATGTACATATTTAATTACGTACAGTAATAAGTAATGCATATAATTTATTTTGTAAGAAAGATTTGCTACTTAAAAATATGTATTCATGCAATAAAATAAAAGAAATATGAACAATAAATGTAGAAATAAATCTTGCGAAAGTTTAAATTTTATTGAAACGATTTGATCAGCAAGGTAGAACTTAAGACCAGTGTTCTGACAGACAAAACTTCTTGGAAGCGTACTCAGAATGTAAATCAATTCGAAATGTTGGATAGCGAAGGAAATTTGCTTCAGTGATTTCTGCCGTCAAATACTAACATTTTCAACTTTCCATTTGACTACAGGAAATCATTTCGTAGCATCATATTTATATATATACATACATGATTTTAAATCTTTTAAAAATTATGTGGACTTTTTGTTGTTCTTTTGTTGGAGAATTTACTTAAAATATTTTTTAGTAAGGAATATCCATTAATCGAAGACCTAAAAATGGATTATTTGTCTGTTATAATTATTAAATAATTAAATTATGTAATTTGATTTAAACATAGACAGTTATCCTGCATATTATTCGCCTTCTATTTACAATTCTAAATTAGTTTAAACTGAAGTTTTAAGAGTTAAATCCAATTTCTCTTTTCTCTTACTTTAATATATTTGATAATGCAAGAATAAGGAAAAAAAGAGAAGATATTAAGGAGATTCAAATTTTTCTTTCCGAAAATTGTCGGTAAAGATTTTTTCATCACATCAAAACAGACGATCGAGTTTCACATTTTCTTTAATGCGTAAATGTTAGAATGTATCCTGTAAACAGGACAATGGAACGGTGAACACAAATGTCATTTTGTTTGTTGTTATTATTCAGTTTTTTTTAATATATATTTTCAATTTTATTGTTCTGTTTTATACGTTGTCTTAATGTCTAAATGTTAGAATGTATCCTGTAAACAGGACAATGGAACGGTGAACACAAATGTCATTTTGTTTGTTGTTATTATTCAGTTTTTTTTAATAATATTTTAGCTCACTTATTCTAATTATCCTTATGTTAAACAGTAAACCAAGAAAAATTTTAAAAGGGAAATAGGAAAAAGGATTTCCTTTTAGAGATACTTTCTATGCTTTGAGAGTATCTACACCAGGGGTGTCCAACCTTTTTGTTTCTCTGGGCCGCATTGGAAGAAGTCAAGGAGTTTTGGGCCACAAGTATATATAATAATACTTATGGCCCNGTTTGACCTTTTTTGACTTTAACAAATATTTTGATAAATTTAATATTTTAAATTTTATTTAATTTGTTATTTAAAAAATAACAAATTAAATAAAATTTCTTAAAAGAGAAGTGGATCTTTATCCACTTCTCTTTTAAGAAATAAATAAATAATGATAATGTATTTATGTTTAAATGTAACGTTTGAAGTGAAAGTTAGTAAGAGTAATTATTAAATATGTAATATTTAAAACATCATATAGATTTATAGTAATATTTTTAAAATGTGGTGAATACTTTAATGATTAACTTGAATTATTTAAAAAGATATAAATTTATATATTGATTATTGCAGAAAAATAAGCATAATCAGTTATGCTGGCATAAGGAGGAACAAACTATAAAAAAGGGCATCATGCATTATGCAAGAAGCTTCAAACTACAGTATAATTAAACGTCGGTCAGTGCTCCCACAAGGTGACACTGACTGCAATCCGGGTTAACTTGGCCTTGAAAACAAGGAACGTTTCTTGTTTTCAAGGGCAGGTTTTGTTCAACATACAACGAAATTGCATGAGACAATGAACAAATGTAGTTCATTAGTTTCTTTTATATTTGCAGAATAGTCTAATTCATGAATTTTCTGTTTTTGTCAATAATGGAATTTGGGCACCTTTGGGAATTAGAAAAGAGAAACACAGACGAAAAGCAGACATATGCCCAAAGTGCCCCAATGTACGGATGACCCTGAACAAAATGTATAAAAATAAATATAAAATAATGACGTATATACAATTGTTTCTATATATTATGGTATTATCCCATCTCTCTTCGAAAGCTATCAAAATAAATGAATAAAATCAATAAAGTAAATAAAAGTGGATTTATTTATCATATATGAAAGAAAACTTTATATAAATTTTTCAAGTCATATTTTTTTACATAAGGACTAAATTTTGGTATTCTTTTATGCCCAGGATTCAGATCAAATGATCCTGATTATCTGCCCCTAATATATTATTTTGATATTAAATAATTATAGTCATCATGCTCCAGTTTTAATGCGATATGATTTATGACTACTGTTTTATGTAATGATAATACTATTACGTAATATTTTGAAAATATGAAACAACATAAAGAAATAATTCGCTATTTATAAATATTATAACAAAAGGTGTTTAAAATATTTCTTCGAACTGAAAGATGCATTAAAACAAACTTTTGTAAATCTGAAAAATATTCCTTAATGATAATTACTACATTTATACCGCTGCCTTTGTCTTCGTTGAAAAAATATAATAATAATGTCAAATATTGAACAATGCGGATAATTTAACTAATTTTTTTTTAATAATTACTTCTGCAAAAATACTATTATTTATAACGACGTATTTAATGTTAACACATTATTGTACTAAAATATGTTATATTCTTTATCTGAAATTACTGTATTTTCTGTTAAAATTGCTGAAAATATTTTCAAAATTTAACTGATAAACGTAAAATATAAAATATAATTTGAAAATTAATATACTGATGTTACATTTAATTGTTTTTAAACCTTTAATATACTGATGTTACATTTAATTGTTATATACACTTTTCCTCATCAGAAATAAATAATGATTAACCCATTATAATTTGCGCGTAGTTTATATCATTTAATGACAAAAGATCACTGAAATATATCTGAAATAGTTAGATAAATTTTAAGCAATGCATTAATCTACAACTGAATAATTTTTGTTCAGTCAAGCTTTAAATCTGACCAGCTTTATATGTCGAATTATTCAAACCTATGCTTGTTTACCTTTACATTAGTCTAATTGTGGCATTGTTTGGATAACTATAGCCAATATTTATACCACTTATGCTACTGAATTTAAAGAATAAGTTTAGTTGTATGAATTTTTATAAAGTTTAATATTTACGCATAAAGAATTTAGGCTATATGAAACGAAGAAAAGATTTATTCTACCAAATCTGCTGTCTTCGCTTTCAATTGTATTGTTCTGTAAATTGTCTACTATCATTGACAATGATTTCAGATAATTCTCTCTATAATATCGAGAATATACTCTGTAATTTAACTGATATCCAAATAAAGTAGTCTTATCTCCTAATTTACCTACGTTTACAGTTAATAGTCAATGTTCGAATGAAAAAAAAAACTTTTTTCATTCATAAAATTTAAATTCTGTTTTTCATTTCTAATGTAAAGATCTTTATAAAAAAATGAAGTTTGATGTGAAAGAAATTGCTTTTTTGTTGTAATAATATCATATGAAATCCAAGAATTTGGGATTTCAATCAGAATATGAAAAAAAGTTTGATAAATGACTTTTACAAACAACTTAAATATATTTAAACAGTCAAAATTTTTCTAAACTTAATAACAAATGTGTATTTTCAATACATATTTATAAATAAATTTAATGAATTTAAAGTTTTAGAATTATTATTAAATAATAATCTGTATATTATGTACTGTATGTAAATATAATTTAATCAATATTTATTACAAAAATAAATATAAATTATTTATTATATATTGTAAACTTTTCGAGAGCAATTTTATATTATTTTTTATATAAAAATACATTTTCAAGTGTTTATTTTTAATTAATGAATTAAAAACTTCAACATGATATCATTATTATTATATAAATGACTTAATAATAAGAATAAAATTTTAAAAGTATTTTTTCATCTTAAATTTAAGAATTAAGCATAATATTCAGCTTATAAATAAACAAAAATTTTAATTTTTTAATATATTTTAAGATATTAGACATAGCATTTCAATACATTCTGGTCAATTTTACTGACTTGAAGAAAATAAAATTTAATATAGAAAAGTGTAGCTTATTTAGCAAGTTTAGAAAGTAAATTTGTTTGTAAGAGTAATAAAACTAATTATAAAAATGTCTAGTTTATCAAAATTCCAATACTGAAACTGATTTTAAAAATTGAATTACAGTAAAGCAGCTTACCATTTACAATAAATTGAGTTGTCCTATTTGAAGATGCTGCAGAATTTGAAGCCAAACAAGTATAATAACCTCTATGTTTGGAGGTAACTCGACGAAATATAATGATAGAAGAATCTTCGAGTGTTTCTACTGAAACATCATCTTTTGATGTAACTACAGTTCCATCGTGTAGCCACTGATATTTTATTGGAGGATCTCCTGTCGTAGTGCTACATATTAGTTTAGCTCTTGATCCTTCATCTGCTGACACGTTCTCGGGAAAATAATGAGCATCTATCACAGGAGACACTGAAAATGATATAATATAAATCTATCAATTTTTCTAAAATTCTAATGTTTACAACATATATAAATCATACAGATAAATTTGTATCGACTTACTATCTCATTAACGAAGACTATAATTAATAACAACATTTTTTTATTTATTTATTTGCGTCTATTTACAAAATGAATAATTAAATTCGATTTATTATTCACAATGAGGGTAGATTAATATACGTAGTTAATATGTTGGGCTACTAATCGTGTGTAATAATGTAAAGAAAAAATAGAAATGTGAAGATTAATATATCACCGAGTGATCTATACATCAATGTTGTCTTTCTTGTAATATGATTAATTCTTCTTGCTTCCAGAATACAGATTAAGTGAAGAAAAAATATCTTTGGCTAGGAATACGAAACAATCAATCATTTCTGTATCTGCGTATATTCCCACGTCGTCTAGAGCCAACAATAGTACAGGAGAGATTTAATCAGAAAAGAGAAGACTACATCAATTCCGAGTAAATGTTTGTAGATGTTTGATGTGTTGCTGCCGGCTACGTATTCGTTTTACACTTGCTTTCAACTATACCTTCACTTTAGATTTGTATTGAATAGGTCTTTGTAAGAGTTAGATGCATTCTCGAGGTATATAAATTGTGATAGGAAATTCTAATCAGAAGAATCAAAATTTGATGTTTTACTCTGTTTGGATAAGACCTGTAATGTTACCAGCTACTAAAGAATTTCATAATACTCGCTAGAGAACTTTTCTTTTTAAAATTTCACACTTTGTAATCCGTAAGCATGAATTTGATTTCAAGAAGCATCTTAAATTCACCTAAAAACGTATGATTGTTCGTAATGTCTTTTTAAAATCATTTTATGTAAATGTTTGTAATAAATAAAATGATTATATATCTTTAAAAAAGTAATTGGTTTCTTTTCGATTTACTTTCAGTATTTTCATGATAAACGTCCTAGCAACAAGTCATAATACAGATAAATTGATTGATATAAAAAGTTTTGAAGAGAAAAACATTTAGATTATTTTTATTCTAATTTATATAATTTATAAGAAACATTATGACATTGATTTTTATAGTAATATTTTATTTAAAAATATAAATAACTTACCAACAACTGATATATAAGTCGTCCCACTTGCTGATTGTCCAACAGCATTTCTAACAACACAAGTGTATTCTCCTTCATCAGGAGCTCTTTGCACGTTTCGAAGAATGAAAGTTCCTTTACTATCAATATTTTGTCTCCGATTTAAAGGCAAAACTATTCCACCTATAAAGAATAAATAAGAAATTACAAATTATAACACTAATTACTTAATTCAATTTTGTGGATATTCCTGCAAACATCATTTAACAAAATAAATTAGTAAATTCACTAAATTCTTAAATTAATTCCTCAAGACAACTCTCATAAGAAAATATAATTATTGAAAGATGTCTAAATATTATACTTCATTGCCATCAATTTAATTGTAACCAGAATTTGTCCAGAACGCACGCAACCAGATCTAATTATGTGGAATTCCTGCAGCCATGTGCCTTAATGGAATATTGGTTACTATGATTAGTTGCTTAATTGAAATAGCGGCTGCATATGCGGTTAGCCAATAATAATACAATCCTTCAATTTATATTGCCTTTAGCATTTCGGTCTGATTTGATTGAAAGTTTAAACGCTGTTTTACCATTTTCTGCTTGTACAACCAACCTATTTTTGATTACAGATAAGACTAATAGTCGATAATAAATGTTTAGTTTATGTGTAAAAGAATCATGCTTTATTTGTAATATATTGTGTTATTAGGGAGATTATCCGCATAATATGTCTTCTCTGTCAGTTGAAGCTCTGAAGAGGCAAGTCACAGATACAGATTATTAGATTCATGAAAACATCAATCTATATAATGGAATACTTGAGTCCAGGTAAAGTTTTGGCGATAATGGATAGAGCACGAGTTAGTATGAACGAAAGAGCATTGATCACTTCACTTGTGCTGAATCTGCATAATGATTACTGTCATCTGATAACAACATTAAGGTCGACGTAGCTTTTCGTGTCAGAACTTCTCCGCAACATTCTCATTCTTACCGGATTTATGTACTGGTTTTCTTTGTAAAATATACGTATATTCTCAAGGGATAATTATTATATTTTATTAAAATATAAGCTACTAATATAACTACTTAAAGTTTTAAGGAGTTGTACTTTAATATTTTCCAGGAAGATAACACTTTTTTTACAGAATTACTAAATATTTAATAATTATAACTTGTAAATAACATTAAATAACTATCGATAATAGATAATTCATTTCTTATTTAGTAAAATTTTAAATAGTAAACCTAAAATTATTTAGTGTAATAATATACTTAAAAAAACTATATACTTAGAAAAATAATAACTTAATTAATAATTATTTATTTTACATTTTCATCAAGCATAAGTTAGAGATTAAATGAATTATAAAATTGTTTTAATTATTTTATTTTTTAACAAAATTAATTCGTTTTCATCAATAATTTTAAAAATAAATAATTTAAACTAATGACAAATAAATAAATATAAAATAATCATAACCTCTTTCCCACGTAATGCTTTCTATAGGATAACCTCCGTAAGGACATCTGAGGATTAGGTCTTCCCCAGATACAACAGAATGGTTTCTCAATGGCCTGACAAATGGTGGTCCGTGTACGTTAAGTCTTGCCTTATGTCCTATACTTCCTACGTCATTTGATGCTTCACATTGGTATTCACCTCCATCTTCTACTCTAACGTCGCTGATGTTGATATAGCTGACCACTTGACCCTGAGGTATAACATAATCTCCCACTGATATTCTGGAAGATGGACTGACTGGTACTCCATCCACAATCCATCTTACCGTTGGCAATGGGTTACCCGAAGCAGAACATTTTAAGGTAACGTGTTCTGTTGGTTTTGATACTTTTTCACTGAAGGTCGAGAATAAATACGGTGCTACATCTAAAAAATTTAATAAATAATATTTAAAATTTATTTAGTGAGAAAAAAATAGCTTAAATAAACTTTCAAGTTTTTATTTTATATATATATATATATATATATTTAGCACACAACTTAGTTTTTCCATTACTGTTTATACTTATTTCATTTTTTCTCTTAGGCTTTAGGAAGTTTTTAAACATTACGTGCCTCCAATACTAAGTTCTGCCGTTGCTTGAGCGGAATCTTGATCACTATAAACAAAACATTGATACATTCCTTTGTCATCTCTACTCACTGCTTCTATATGTAATATGTTTTTAGTTGGAAATTTTATCCTAGAACTAGGGGATAGAAGTTTCTCGTCCTTTTTCCAAACTACCGTATGGATGGGATAACCTGTTACTGTGCAGTTAAATGTGGCTTGTCTGCCGATATCGATAACGAGCATCGAAGGATAAATGTATGCCGTTAGAGGAGCTGAAATTTAAAAAATAAATGAATATAATTGAGATAAAAATGAAAATCTAATTATATACAATTTAATATTGATAATGATAAAAATAAATGAACAACAAATCAATACATATCTAATATTTGTATACTGATTAAGAGTTATTATTATAATTTAAATTCTCCTGACATACCTAATTCAAATTTAATAATGTATAATAACAATGCTTATCCCGAAAGTTCTTTTAATAGATTTTATGAATAATAATTTTAATTTAAAAACAATTTTAACTAAAAAAATAAGTAAATAAGCTTTTAAGAAGATTAATTTATATGATTATAGCTTATTAAGAGACAGATTTATATTATTTTGAGATTTAAAAATCTATTTTCCTACTTATAAATTAATTAAGCTTACTTTTTATCTTATATAAAATATATTTCTCAATTTATTTTTATCTATATCCAAAGTAAATATCTTAATATTAAAATGAATTTAGCTTATCATAAATACAAAACAGCTTATGAGCGACTGCGAATATTTTCTCAGATATTTTTTTAGATATAAATGACACAAATTCGCTTTCTTTGAAATTTCATTCATTATTTATAGAGTTTTTTAAAGTTATTCCTTTAATTATTGTCACTGTCGACTTCAAAATGCACTTACTTGACATCCTTTTATCGTACATTAATTAGTTTTAATGTCAATAACGACGTCGTCGAAGGGAATAAAATTGCCATTTGAAATTTATTTTAGAATATTTTTCAGTAAAATCAATCTAAAGAACAAATGACGCGAGAATTTAATTAGCCAAATCCTCATTTTAGATCGTAACTTTAATCCATCGTTGCTTATACGAAAATACTTTAAACAGTATAAACTGATCAACAGTAAGCATTCAATTTCTGTGATCGCTTATTTTGTCAAGCTAATTTTTAAATCCTAATTATTTTAATTACATTTTATATTAGAAATTATAATTAAAATCAGGATTATTTTAATTTCTCAGATGATAAACAACAACATTTTAACAACCATCATTTTTTTATTATTTTGTACAGGTAAAATAATAGTGATGCTGCTAACAAATACTGAATTTTTTAAATAAAACAAAAAATAATGGAAGAAAATATTGATGACTGGAATTCTTACAGTTCAACAAGTTTCATCACACATATCTAAGTAAAAATTTTTTCCATTTCTTTTTTAAATTACATATTATTTATTGAATTCTTTACATTCCAAATGACATTTTGTCAGTTCTATCCATTGTTTAAGTAAATGAAAAGATATTTATTTCATGTTATCTTTGCGTGATTTCTGTTAATAATTTTTCTATTCTAGTAATTCTGATTTTTTGCTACCAAGAAAATCAAAAATTAAAAAAAAATTTCTAATCTACAAAACGAAAATTAACTTATAAAAAATGATAAAAGTATTAAACAATTCAATATGCAAGAATAGAAAATTAAAAAAAACGAAATAATTTACTTATTGTTCCTCATAAAAAATTATTAATCTGTTAAAAATTATTCGTAGAATACACAAATTTTAATTAAAATTAAAAAAATGAACAATAAAATTTATTATTCTATCACAACTCTAACATATTGACAAATGTAATATAATAAATAATATCCGACTTGTAGACTTAGGGTAGGCAATGATGTCTGCCATTACTATACACCTGTGGGTTAGATGATCCTTGTGACTTAACCTTTCTTTATAAGATTGTAGAGGTATTCAGTAAATTGTCCCCTTATTTGATATGAACGATGAAAGTAAAGAAAAGGATCATTCATAATCTTAGGGTGTGGTTTCCAAAAAGTTGATGGCATCTAGAAAGCAGAGAGATGAATACTTGTTAGTAGTGGATACAGAATTCCTATGTCTCAATGGATAGATGTTATTTGGCAACCTATAGATAGATCTAATCAAGTAAAAGTCTCTCGTCGAAAATTGATAGCAGGTGGTAAGTTTCATTGTTTGTCATCATTAATATCAAAACAACTATTGTGGATAAGACATAAATAAAAGAATAACATATGATAAATATTTTCTTTTCTTTTACTCAATATTATCCATTTAGTAATTATAATTATGATTATATTTTGTTATAATAATTATATTCAGGTTATAGGCTAATACACAAAACAGGCACTAATTAAAATTATATCATCATCTTAAGTAATTTTTATTAAATTTTATAGCAATTAATATTATGTTCGTAATTGTTATTATCAGTTTCCTTTAATCATTGATTTTTATTTATATATATGAAACTTGGATTCTTCTATTGCAATTATGTATGTTGATAATTAACTTTTATCTATTAAAATTTGTTATTAAAAATTAAATTTAAGTGTTCAGTACAGCTAACGAATTCTCAGATAATAATTTAACTTTTAAATTGGTTTTATTCAGATAGAAAAGAATTCAGACAACAAAAATATAGACTAGAATATAATCAAGAACATGAGTAACAGGTTGAAAATTTCAAGTATAGCAAAGGAAGAAAAAAAAATAAGATCCAGGAGTAATTCAATTCCCTATAATTCGAATTTCTCTTTGACTTTCATTTTATAAGAAGCAATTTCAAACAATCTTCGTGGAGCAAATAAAACAATTTTTCTTGAATTTAAACTCTTTATAGTTTCTTTAATTTAAAATTATTCAAAGATTATCTTTCATAAAGATATGAATGTCTAAATTATATCATTTATTAAAAAGTTAGGCAATTATTCAAGACAGAAAAACTATAAATATATCTCTTTACAATATTAAAAATATAATTATTTCCTCGCTAACGATAATTACTCGAATTATTCGACCACTCCTTTACTATTTATGGTTATAATAAAACATTAACAGCTTATATTATGATTCGAAATAAATCAAATTGGTAATTTAGAAGAGAAATTAATTTTTAAAACAAAGTTTGATATTTTCATTTTTAAAATTTCTTTATTTAAATAAATGTATTCTATGTGTATAATTTAATTGAATGGTTTGTGAAAAATAAAAACAGTAAAAATTTTATTATAATTGTATAAAATCTTTAAATTTAAATGCAATTTTTCTTCTACTATTAATTTAAATGTTTTTAATTGGCTAAAATATATTTATATGATTTACAATTAAGAAAAAAAGTGATTAAAGAAGACTAAAAATAACCTTTAGAAAACAAATAGGATAAAGTTAAACAATATAAATCACAAGAGAATGTGCAGGGAAGTTTTGCAGAATTAAAATTAAAGTTGATGGTATACATGGATCCTTACCAGAGACAATGAGATTAGTTTCAGCTCTGTTTTCACCGGCGCTATTTTTGACAATACAAACGAATTTTCCGCTGTCTTCCATTTTTGTTTTTTTAATTGTCAAGACTCCATGAGATATCCAAATACGTTTCCCTTCTACTATTTGACTTAAGGTGGATCTGACTTCTTTCATCCATCTTTACACAGAAAAGAGAAGCTGAATTTTTATTTGAATTCATATTAATATTTAAATTGTTTACTTGTATGAATACGAAAATTCATGAAATAATGAAAGCTTATATTAAATATTTAATATACAAATTTTTTACGATTTTAGAGTGCACTTTTATTCTATTTATTTACATTATTTTAAATAATTGATATATAATCATATTTAATTACATTTTAAATCATTTAAAATTTGTTATAATTTCAGATAAAAATTGTTCATTATTTTAAATATTAAAACATAATTTTAAATTCCTAAACTAGAAAAAGAAAATATTAATTACAAATTTATTTTTTAATGTATTAATATTTCTTTGCATTCTTAGCCACAAATAATACATACAGACAATATATTCTTACCAATATTATCTATTTATATTAAAGAAATATAATAACTGTTTATTAACTTTAAATAATTTAATATTATCTTTAGTTAACATTTTTTAGAAGTTTATTTTCTATATTTCTCACTTATAGGTTGGTGCAGGATAGCTTTGTGCTACACATGGAAGCTGCGCTGTTTCTCCTTGAGTTACTCGAAGTTGAGATAAGTTAAACGTCACTCTGGGTAATGTGGAAGTATGTGGTTCTAAAAATGCAAATACATTGAAAAAATATTATATTTAAAATTTCTGTTGAGATATATTTATTGATAGATTATATAAAATATATAAGTAAATTAAACTGGAGTTTCTTTCTAAGACCATGAAAGATCTTAAAGTAATTTTTTGTTTTCGCGAAAAAAAAAGCTGAGTTAGAATAAGAGCTGAAGGAAGTATGCTATATGAATGACATTCCAGTGAAAAGTGAAATTCAAATACCTGTCACGACAATTTTCCCGGAAGTAGTGCTAACCGAATATTCGCCTGTCAAATGATGACGTGTCTTGCAATGGAAACTTGACGTTCCATAGGATTCGACTGTTTCATGTAGTAATAATTCTCCGGATAACAGTACCATGTATTTATTTTCTGTAAAATAATATCGTCTTTTTCAACTTTGATATACTAATATCAAAATATCTTTATTAATATGTATGTAAAAAGTTACAATAATTATAAATTAAATTATGAACAATCTAATTAATTATAATTTTATATACAATTAAAAAAATGTTCTAAGTTGTTCATAAATTTAAAATTTTGTAAATAATTAATTAATCAAATATTAGAAGAATTAAAAGATTAGTAAACTACAGTAGAGCATCGATTATCCGACCCCCGATTAACCGTCACATCAGTTAACCGACCGTTCTAGTAGGCAAATTTCAAATGTCCGCTAGTGATGTAGCATTACAATATTTGGCTATGTCTTGGCTACTTTAATATTATTTTTGTTAAATTTTTGCGTGTTTTAGCTGGCATTAACGGCTCGACCATTGAAGGGAGGCCAGTATTTAAACGAGATTTAATTTTCTAATTATGAGTGATTGTTTGTTTTGTGAGCAATAAAATAATTTAAAAATAATTTTTAACGATACAATAGATACGATTATTATTTTTAAAAAAATTTGTTACGCTTAACATCGATGAAAATTCAACGTGAAGTATGTTAATAGCGATATACTAATATACTAATTATATGGGATATACTAATATGCTAATATACTATACTAATAATGTATTTTTTCATTCTTTTCGGTTATCCGATCAACCTGAGTCCCCAATTGAGTCGGATAATCGATGCTCTACTGTAAATCAATAAAAAATAAATTTAAGAGTAAAAATAGCAAAATTTTCATTTTCAATTAGCTAATTATCAACGCCAAATTTTTATTTTTAAAAAAATTAGATTGCGTTTTATATGTCAATCTTATTTGCTAATATAACTAGTTAAATTTTACTTTCTAAATGTGAATACAAAATATTTTTAACATACACTGTGTATGACTATAATGTTTCTTATAGCGGAAATTATTTTCAATAAAAATTCTATCTATAAATGCAATTTTCTAAAATTTTATTTTTAAATTCTAGAAATATATTTTATTGAAAATGATGATAAATAGTCTTCATTTTATATATCTAACAATTCAACTATTATAGAATTATCTTGCTTTCTTGAATAAAGAACTCAGCTTTTCAGTATTTTCTTATACTAAAAATAAGAACAAGCTTAGTTTACATCTATTTGATTCAAGCGAGTTATGTAATTTATCTTGATTTAACTCGATTTTTTTGGCATAGAATTTAAATTCCAATGTCGTTTCTATAATTACACAGTTCCAATTAAATAAGCATGTTATTAATTGTAACTAAATTGCTATTTATCTTTTTAACAAATTTTTGTTTTTCTTGTCATGATATTCGAGATATTACGCGTGGTTTTCTTTATAAAAAAATACTTATATTTAAGAAACTAATTATCTGTTATTAATGATCTTAAAATTATCAAATCCAGATTGTTTCTGTTTGTTTTGGAAATAAAATTTATAAAAATTCTTGTTTTATCATCCTTAATTATTTTTATCTAATTTTAATTTTTTTCCTCTTTTTATTTAATTCTATCGCATTAATTTTTAAAAAAATGTATCGCATCTTACACAGATAAAATCCTAAAAAAATACATGTTTACAAAGTAGTATTACATATATAACTAAGGGGTATTTTCTTTTTTTTTTCCTTCTTCAATACAATTTTTTTAAACCTAAGTTTTATTTAAAAGCTGAAGTTGAGGAAATTTTTATGCAGTAACAAAACTAAATCGAATATAATATAAATTTTTCTAATTTAATATATATATTTTTAAAAAACTTAGTTTAGAAAAACTAGAAATGAATGTAAATCATCAAAAAGCTGTAAACACTTGTTAGAAATATCAACACTATAGAATATGTGAAGAAGAGGAAAAAAGTACAGTGAAGTATTTGTTGATTTCCGTTATTTCACAACTCAATTTTTACTTTATTCAAAGAGAAGTGGAAAGACATACAGCAAGACAAAAAAAACTTATAAAAATTCCAATCCTGTTCAAGCCTTGAGATATAATTTTAAACTATTACAAAGACAGAAACTTCAAAGATCATGTTCTACGAAGTGAAACTAGAATTGAAAATTTTAAGAATCGCTAGTATTTTTCACGTATTTTTTTCAAGAAGAAAATTCTAGATCAAATTTTACTTTTCTTTATTATAGCTATTTTGTTGCCATATTGGACGAAAATCCCCTACCATTATCCTGTATTCTATCCGAGTAAATTTATATCATTATTACGTTATATTTCTATTATGTACCCTTACAAATCATCATTTCTTTATTGTTACGAAATGATGACGAAGCTATTACGTTACTATTATTACATCTATAAAGAATAAAAAGGTTAATCTCCAAAATATCACTATTTCTGTTGATAGAAAAAAAGGATAAGCAACAAATATGCGATAAAAACACAATTTTTTAAAAATATTATATATATATATACGTAATAATGCTGACTGATATTTTTGAAACTTATACAAGTAATTTTCATATTTAATAATGTTTTTCTCTTAAAATGTTACTTTTATTTAGAAATAACAAAACATACATAGCCCTTTCCTTCTTACTCCTATGGGAGAAAAATCTATATTTTATTCTTGCGACATACCTAAACGTAAACTCACGTTTACTCAACACCATATATAAACATTAGTTTATAGATCACTAGCATATCTATCTGCGAAAATCTATCAGAAATATAATCGAATTTTTCTTAACTTTTAAGATTAAATTTTATTAATAATAATGTTTAATACTTTAAGAGAATTATATGATTATCTTTCTCTATATTTAAACTATTGAGTTTAATTAATTAGTAATAATAATGAATCATTTATTTTCATTATTCTTTGTCACGACTTGACCTCTTTTGATGCGGAATGTTTAAATACCTAAATGTGATTATCTTCTCCTGTTTCTTAGAAAATGTTTTAAACATTACGAAATTACAAGAATTTCATTTATCATGAAAGGAGTTTCGGCATTTATCTGATTATTATCAATTAAAAATCAGTAGTTTTAAATGAGATATTTTTGCAAACATATTGAAAACTTTTTAGAAATATTCCAATTGATAAAATAGAAATTCTTCTTCAAAGTATAGATTTATAAAAAATAACAATTCAAAAATTCGACAAATTCTCTTGCAAAAAAATCCATAAAATCCATATAAAACATGAAATAAAATCCAAATAAACTATTTAACAAACTTTCTAAATATAAAATTTAATGTATAAATTAAGTTTTAAGACATATTTAAATATTGTTATAAAAAAGAAACTTTTAATTCAATATTTTAATACCTTTAATAATATATAAAAGTCATTTTAGAATATAAACGTAAGCTACCATATTAATAAATTTTAATGCTTATTATTTTTCATTAATTTAGAAAATTTTTCATTAAATCATTAAAGAATAGAGAATTAATTATTCTGCAAATTTACCTCCTAATGTAATTATTCAAAAATAAAACTTAAATACTATAATAAATTATAAAATAATTTAAAATGATTAATTACAGATACTTGCTTCGTTTCCTATCATATTTTTATACTTAGACCATCATTTTTTTTCTAAATAAAAATTGTTTTATGTTTAAATTTATAATAAATATAAACTACATTATATATTTTATAGAAAAATATAGTTTAAAAAGCAAACCAAAATAGTATTTACTCTTAAACAGATATAAAAATTAATGTAATTTCTTATTCTCAGATAGATTGTTACTTATATAGTATATTAACAGACATTATAATTTACGATACGCGATTAATTTTGTGTGTTTATGTACAGATGATATTAATGAACTGATCTACAGCATGATATATATCTAATAATAATCAATGATAGAATATTACTCAAGTAATGATAGGTTTATTTAGATATGAATCATTTTTAATATTTAATGTAAGTTGTATAGCAAGTTAATAAACCTATTATACAATATAGAAAATATACAATATATACAATATACAATATAGAAAATATTGTACATAGATATACAATATAGAAAATATATCTATGTTAGAAACTAATATAAAACTGTAAGCTGGAAATAGATTGAACCTATACCAAAATAGCAATGTTTTTTTTCAAATAACAATTTAAAAATTTATTTTAAGATTTTATAAAATAAAAATAAAAAATATTTTTAAAATTATTTTTATTAATAATAAAAGAACTGAAGTAAACTTATATATGAATTTAAGTAGGCTATACATTAGGCAATATTAAATTTGGATTTAGTATATTTATTTATTTATTTATTGTTTACTTAAAAACTATTTTAACTAGAAAATAAATAAATAAATACCTTATAAGTTTTTATATAGGAAATAAGATAATCTATTAACCACAACTTGATGCTTAAATTAAATAATATGCAATTTAATTTTAATAAGCTTAGATAAATTCATTTTACATAAGCAATAGTTTGTTATAAATGATTTGCGAATAATTGTAATATTATTGTGAAATATTTTAAAATTGATAGCAAACAACTATCAAAAATTACGAGAAATATTAATATATATATTTAAAATATGACATCGAACGAATCAAACTATTAATTGGAATACCTTATAGAATATGAAAAATAATTAAAATTTTATTATGTATGCAATTGCCTGCAATTTTTATCAATAACAATCAGATGAATATGTAATTGCCTTACTTTAAAGACAATTTACTGTTTGCTTAAAGCAATTTCATATTTATATATCGCATATTTATCATCCATATCCATGAAAATGACATTAAGTTTTAGAACTTAGTAAAATTTATTTTTATTTTAATCATCATTTCTTAAGCATTTCCAATATATATACGAACAAAAATCTGATAAATTTTATTATTGATGTTACATGTCACACTTACCTTATCTAACTTGATTTTTATATAAAAAAATAAATCGTTCTTTTTATATATATTATATACACAACCAAAAAGTATTGTTCTAGCAAATGTTTCCTAGCTATAAACTTTGTACCTCTGGTAGTAAATAGCCATCATTAAACATTTTATGACAAAGGCGCTAAAAGCTTTAAAATACGCGTAAAAATTAATATTGCAGTATTTCCTTGCAACATGTATTAAATTCGCTTAAAGTTGGTTCTCCTAAGTGTTCTTATCTACAATGTTTTTATGTTAAGCTGAGAGTAATGTCAAAACACACAATATCCTTTCAGCAAGAACGATACTGTCAGCCACTAACGGATATAGGAGAAAATCGGTGGCATCCAGTTAGCGATAAAACTCCGTCTTCTGGAGAAAAACTGTCGCTAAACTAATAAAATCTCATCCGACATTGTTTCATGTTAGAAAACTTTGAAGGTTTTTGTTCAAGTTAAGATAACTTTGGATTTTTTTGTCTTTTTATTAGTATAGGCTATATGGAGTATCGACGATCGATGACACTAATTGAACCGTCAAGTGTAGCAATGTTATATAAAATAGTCCAATATAAATATATATTAATTTTTAAAATTTATAAAATTTTTATTTAAAGGAATAAATCCAAAATATTTCTACCTAAATTTATATTTAAAAAGTCAGATGCAAGTATTTTACATTTTTAAGAGCTGATAATACAATAAAAAATAAATTATATTACATAAGAAGCACGCTTCACAATATAAAGTTTATTGACATTTTTACTTATATTATATTATATTATATATTATATTATATTTATAAGTAATAATATCGATAAATTTTTATTGTGGAAAGTGTTTTTATAAAGCAATATTCATCAACTAGAGCGAATAATATATTGAAATATATTGAAATAATGCTGAACAAATGATGTTAAAAAACAAATAGATACGGCACCTTTGACAATTCGAAATTTACTTCTTACTACAAATCTATTTTATTTTCTAAGATCGGTCAACATAAAAAAATATAGCACTAACAATTACGACTTTGCAAACGTGAAGATACTGAAAATGATGTGTGAAAACTTACCAAAATATTTATTTAATATCCCATCTCTTAAAATATTTACTTTACTTATATTTCAAACAAGGATTTCAATTTGCTGATTTTTTTAAATAAAAGATTCCTTTAAGCGAATAGATTTGAATAGAAGTTGTTATAACTTGTTAATTTGCCTTTACTGCTTTTGTCATACTTTTAAATTAAATGTATATAATACATTATTACATATACTTCCTCTTTTGAATGTAGCTTTACTTAGATAAAAATATATTAAACATGTAAAATTATATATAAAGTTTAACTTTGTTATTATAGATATTTTAGTTTAATGTTTTTAATAATAAAAATTCGAGTTTAGAAAACTGAAACTTTATTTTAAATTCTACTTTTAAAATATATAAAATTTTATATATTCTTCATCTTTAGAGAAAGATTTTAATTTCTTATTTTTAGAACTTTCAATAGCTTTTTTAATTTTAATTTTTGGTTTCTACAATATCTTTTTCTATTACCTTGAGATATAATTAAAATTATATATTCGAATACTGATTGATCGTCAAATTTTTTTCTCTTTTAAAAAAATCCTTGTTACATCAAGATATTTAACTTCTTTATTAAGAAATTCGTTATAATGGAAGATAAAAACTGAAAATTATATTAATTTTTCCCACTTTGGAGTTTTTTGTATTACATTCATTAAACGACATCCATGATTATTCAAATTTAATTTATCAATGCCAATCTGTTAAATTCAGGAAGATTAATATCTTCAACAATTTCTTCGGTTAAATTTTTTCTTCCTCTCAAATAAATTTATAATAAATACTCATAAAGATATAAATTTAAGAAATTAAAAAAATTCCTTATTTACATTAACTTTTTACATTTATTGTATTTACTTAAAACATTCATTTTTAATAACTAAATTTAATATTTAAAAAAATTCTTTTTTACTTAATTAAAAATAATAACTATCATTTATTTATATCATAAAAGATTTTAAAATAGAAGCGTTATAAATACAAATTTATTTGCTACATTTTATACTGTCATCCGTTTGAATTTATAAAAATTTCAAAGTAATTTTGAAAAATAATCGGATAAGACAGGATGTGTAAAACATTTACTTACCTTTCTCTTCAGAGTAAGTATATGTGACACCATCATCACGAAGCCATGAATCTACGCTGACATATTCTCGTACAAAAGATGGCAAATGACAACGAAGAACAGCAGTGTTTCCACGAATTATAAATTGATCGTATACGTTGGGATTATAACGCTGATGGACCACTAACGGAAATAAATAATACCAAAACTCTGAATAATTTCCATACCCAGTTCAAAGGTTACAAAAGTTCTTACATAATATATTAAATAGCATGTATTATCCAGTAGTTTTCTAAGTATTTTGTTATTAATTTAAAATTAAATTCCTTACGTTAAATAAATAAATAAATAAATAAACTGGATAATGACTCAAATTAATAATACAATAAGAGAGAGAAGGAAGGGAATTAATACAAAATTAACATAAACTTTACTTGTTCATTTCTATCTAGAACATCATATTGAGCTTATAAATATGTTGTTGTTATATTCTATTTAATATACCGAAATCACTTACGAAATTATTCATTTGTTTAAATGAACGAACAAACATGTTCACTAGGCATTGTTATCACGACGCTGTTTGCTTATAATAAGTTAATTTGAGCTATTTTGCATCAATCACTTTCAAATTTTGCAAAGTCACGCAAGCAGAGAAATTAATAAATATCCAAAGGTAATCGTTATCTCGAAGACATCACGTATTACATTTTAAAATGAGTTCATCTGTTGGTCAGCCGTTTTCAAATAAATTGTTGACATTATTTGTTTATTAAAAATTGCTCTAAGAATGTGTCTGTCTACGTAAATAAAACACGAATAAATTTATTACTTGGCACAGTTCTTGCATAGGGCACACATACACTTCGTAAAGCAAATTTTTTTTTAAACAAATAATGATTATTTTTAAAGAAAAATATGTTCAGAAAAAAAAAATTGATGAATAACTCGCATCTTTCTTAAAGTTTGGATTGAATATAAATTATAAAACGTTACATAATTTATTTTTACTTTGTTTATGTTGATGGTTCCTTAATAAATTCGACATGATGAATACGGCGAAGATAAGATGAATGATAATTAATCTACTATAATTAATATACAAAATATAATTAAAAGGTTCAATATAGTTAAAGCTAATTATTTTACCAATATTGAGAGTATCGTTTAATTATATATATATAGATTATTATTTTAAATGAAGATATTTGCAACAAAAAAATAAAAAAAATAAAAATAATGTAGTAGCTTTAAGCGTAGTTGTAGCATGATCAATTTTCGATAGCTAGAAAAAAAACAGATAAAAATATGTTTAAAGGCTACATTTTAAATAAAATGATAGAAAATTATCATTTTTTAAATGCATACGTAATTTTAAGTAGTAGTAATTAACAAAACAGTTCATATGATTATTTGATTCATTAAAATTTATTATCTGGATATAAATAAATATTACTTTTTTAAAAAAAAGAGTTTAAAGTTTTACTTAATTTTTGATAAAATTAGAAAAAAAAACGAAATAACAATGATAATTTAGAAAATGTGAGAATTTTATATAACTTTAAATACAGTTTTAAGTATAATTTCTAGGAATCCCATTTTACTAATGTAAATATATATCCATCATTAAATTTTTATTTCTCGGCATACAAAAATAAAATAAAAGCATTTTGCTGTTGTATACTCAAGTATTTTACATTAAAAAATAAAAGAAAAAACATTAGTAAAGAATACAAAATAAAATCACTTTAGTTTAAATATGAAATAAATGCAATCTGTAATTTTTTCCTTCCTTTATAATTTAATTTTCTTTTTAAAAATTTTAAAATAATATTCGAGTATTTTACTGTCTAAAATAGCAGAGAGCATTCATAATGAAAGTATAAGAAACATACAAGATATGGATTATTTTAAAAGCTGCTTAATGGGTATTTATAAAACGGGATTATTTTGATAGCTTTAGCACAAGAATCTACAGATAATTTAACATCTCTTTCGAAAGAAATCCATCTGCTATTTCCCACCATACAGTGAACACACGCAATGTTCTGCAAGATTGGAACCTGGTAGATACTGGAAAATAAGATACAAAAACAAAAAAAAATTGAAACTGACAAAATTATAACAAATAATGGAAGTGTTCTCTCGATAAACTAGGTTAAAGATTTTCTGAACGTATCAAAAAGAATATACAACGTTCGATTTCTAAGTTAAATTTATGAAACGGCGATGAAGATTATTTTATATTCTTATTACATTCCGGATAGATACAAATATCGTATATTTTTCTCTTAATGCAATTTTACCAAAGTATTTTCCTAGATACCGACGAGATGAATTTCTTTCTAATTTTATTGCTTTCCATTAGGTATATATCATAAGTTTGAACTCCTACAGTATGGATAAAGTATACAATACAGAACATTAAGGCTCCATTTTTTTAAATAATAGATTTAAATATCGAATTTATAAAAAATATTTTCAATTTATGAATTATTCATGAACAGATCTCAATATTAATGTTTAGATTAGACTCATTTGAAAAAATAGTAGAAACAAAACTGTATTTTTTTAATTGAACATTTACTATTATGTAATTCTTTCGAATTGAGTTTATATATATTTGATTTATTTATTTATGTTTTTGATGTTATATTATTTATTAGAAAAATATTTTAAATTTGAAATTTTCTAGAAAACTAAATAAAGAATTTAAAAATAAAAATTTTAATTCATTGAATATCTTAAATATTGTATCTAAGGATATAATGTATAAAAATTTTTTTATTTAATATAAATTAAGCAATATAAAATTAATACGAATTTTAACAAAGAAATTATGTATATAATTTTTAAAAAAGCTGTTTAATCTGCTATTAATATTCACCATTTTTAATAAATATAATAATAATGTTCTGTAGAAGGAAGTTTCATTTCCTCTGAAGAGCAATTTCCGTCAACGAAGTTTCTGTATTTTGAATATACAGATTGTTTCTCTTAATTAATCCTAAATTGAATTCAAGAATTAAAAAGTTTTCGTTAGAACTATTATATATGGTTCGGTGGAAAAATATAATTCTTTAGATAAATCGACTGATAAGTATACATTGCTACAAGCTTTAACACATTTTCTTACTCATTAAATTTAAGTTCCTCTAATAAAAGTTTCATTTATCGACAGGAATATAACTAATATAGGCTAAGTACTTTCGAATTTTATTATCAACTTTGACATTAATAAAGGCACTAAATTTGAAATAACTTCATATTTTGCGAATTAATTTGTCAGTTTAACTAAATTCTCATTTCGTGAACTAATTCGATATAAAAGTTTAAATTTGTCTACAGCAACATAATTTTGATTCTAATCTTTAAGAAGAACAATAAATAAAGGCTATTAAATTATTATTTTTAAGAAATAAAAATTCCTTTTAAGATTAAACTATAAAAAAATTTCCTGTGCTTTGATTTATGAAAAGGATTTGTCAGCATCAATTTAGTTAAACACACTTAATTTACTAATAACTTTAATCGTAATAAACTTATCAATCAAATTATTATTTTTGAATAAATGCTGTCATTTTAATTAATTTATGGAAAATTCTCATCAATATTTTGTCGCAATTAGCAAATGACGTAGAATTTGTAACTCGTAAACTTAATTTTATTCTTACATTACACTGAGAATATTCTATATTCCAGAAATATAAATTTAAAATATTTTATTTTATAAATATACTCTACTTATTAAGTAAATTAAAAAGTAAAATTATATCTTTAAAACTTTCTACCGTGAATAATATCTTATTTTCTAGAATTTTAAAAATATTATTCATTTAAATTATGCATCGCTGTTTAAATTGCATTAGTAGCAAGTTGTAAATTTAAAATATTGCATGGCTGAAAACTTAAGGAACAAAAATTATAAATTATTTTAAAACAAAGCAAAAATTTTAAATAATTTTCACCAGATTTTAAACTATGCAGTAAATTTGCAATAATCTCGCTGAATCCTTAATTTTTTCCATCCTCAGATTTTCTGGATGATTTCGCTTTATTATTTTTCGAAGATGCTCGCATTCATTTTGGTGTTGTTTGAAAGCTTTTGTCACGATATTTCCAAATAATCTATAATTTATATTTGATAAATCTCCTTTTCCAATACACTTATCTTCCTTCTTTTTCAATTGAGAACATAAAGAAATAAACGAAAATACAACATCGAACTTTTGTAATCATATGATTATGTACTTCAACTAAAGTACTCATCAATTTTATCAATAGTTTCTGCCTCTCTAATTAGTTTCCATGACGTTTAATAATTATTTTTTGTTGAAATACTCTTGATAATGCTGTTTTGACTTCAATGAATTATAGTCATTGAATTAAATTGCTGTAAATGTAACTTTTAGCTAAATTTATAGCAAATTACAGCAAAAAGTAATGATGATAATAAATCTACCACAAAAGAAAAATAAAATTTATCAGACGTTATTGTGATTCATCTTAATCACAATCAAGTATTTGTGATTATTTTTAATATATTAATTTAAAATAAATAAATAAATTTAAACATGCCACTATTAATTGTATAGTTTAGTTTTAATAGTATGTATATTTATAAACCATTAAATTTCGTTAAGTGATGTTTTTCAGGTACACTATTAGCGAATCATGTGACTATAACAAACATGAGTTGAGTTAATCCACTTAAGTTAATAACTTAATGTTACGGTCAGATAATCCGTTAAAACTTTTATGCACCAAAAAGCGTATATATAGTAATTTATCGAAAATGCAATGTCTGATCGATAAATATTTAGAAATCTCCTTTGATGTTCTCACGGTAAACATTTTGATTGAATTATTCAATGTTATGCTTTAATAAAATAAAAACCTGGGAAATAAATTTTGTACAAATCCCAATCTTTTTCCATTAGAATCATTTTCATCAATGTTCTGGTTATAGAACGTTGTTCAGAGATTTGAATGTTAAATTTTTAATATAAAATTGCGTATTTAAGAAAATTATACAAGAATCTATTGAAATATCAGTTTAATATTGTTGTATTTATCTCAGTTAGATGCTGTATTACATAGGCAATATATGAACCTAGACTATAAAGAAAAACTTCACATCACTCATCTTGAAAAGAAGAACAATTTATAAGAAAAGATTATTT